AATCAGAAAAATACCAGGCGCCCCAGTTACAATTATGGTCTTAAGAGGGTGATTCCAGGGTCAATGCTTACGTCAGTAAATAGATGCAGAGTTAAAGCTAGTTGTGGCTCCGGCCAGGTGCTGGTGCTGAAAATGTTTGGTAGGACCAAAACAAATGAACTATTTTTAAATCCGTCCAGATGCAGATCAAAGGTTTTCCTGATCAACATTGAAACTGGACTAAAGTTTCATGACAGAGTTCTTCAGAGATGATTTGATTCACAATCATTATCTGAAATGATGTCAAGTGAAAACATTATGGAGAAAAACATCCCAGTGCAGCTCCAGCGTTCTGCAGCCTCCAGCCGGTCCAAACCCACCATGAGACCACAGAGCGGTTCTGATGGCTCAGGTCAGTCCACTGGACCACAGAGACGGAGCCTTCAAGTACAACTCCTACACTGGATTGTCTTAAACTGCAGCTTTCTGCAAACTCCAGCTCTACATCTAAAATTATTTGGCTTTAAGTTGATTTATTCAAAACTTTATTGTTCATTTTCAGTTTTCTTCAGATTTCAGGTGAAAAACTTTTAATTCCTGAGGCTCAGAAACAGAATTCAGGATCTTATTTCAGTTCTCCAGAGTGCAGTAGATCTGGTTCTGGTCTCTGGTGGCCGGGCTGAGGTTCTGGTAGAAACCTTTCAGAGTGGATGTATCATTGGTGGTTCGCTGAAAGGAAGACAAACATCCACTGTGGTAACCATGGAAACTCAGCAGCATGAAGAGAGGACTAGATGATTATTACTGAACACATTTACTAAACTTACCTCAGAGTTTGATCCAGATGAACTTCCTCTGCTCTCTGGTTTTACAGCAACTGTAAAACAAATTACAGTTATGAGGCTGAAAGTTATCAAGTCAGGAATAATTTTAATCTGATTCATTAAAACAGTGAAGCTCTGTGATTGGTTCAGATAAATCTGCAGAACGTAAACATCCAGATCAGTCTGTTTAGAAGAAATAGATTTTATTTCTCAGATGCCATCAGCATGTCGAAGAGCCCATCGTGGTTTGGTCTCTCTTTTTATCACATTACAAAAACATCAATCAGGTTATTTTGGATCTGAAATAACGGGCCACGGTTTCAATCAGAGGATAATAATAATCCTAAAATAGGCCCTGATTGGATAATTGGGCGGATCGGGTCCAGCCCAGATGTTCTCCAGTCCAGATGTTCTCCAGTCCAGATGTTCTCCAGTCCAGATGTTCTCCAGTCCAGATGTTCTCCAGTCCAGATGTTCTCCAGTCCAGATGTTCTCCAGCCCAGATGTT